CACTTATACAATAGGTATAGATTTGTGTGTGTATTTTTAATTGAAGAATTACAATTAATAACTTTATGTATTATTATGTATATGTGTGTGTGTACATTTAAAAGCTAAGACACAATCAAATTTATCCTATACCCATCAAGAGTTCCCTTTCAACTTTTTCTTGTAGATTCATAACCATCGAAAGTGAAGTTAACCAGCCTCATTGCCCATTCCACCTTTCATAAGCCACATAGCAATCATAGAGAATAAGGAAGGTTACCCCTCTTATCTCCTTGAGTCATCAAAGCCCGCCCCCATAACCAACCACAACAATGATCGAAGAAAATGAACTAAGCAACTACATCATCTCCCATTATTCTATCCTCGTAAACAACAACCTTGTAAACTGCATATTGAATTCTTCATGTTAAGCCTACTTCACACGTCAATGTAAGAAGTTGGGGACCAAATCAGCGCAACCGGCCTCTAGCTTAGCCCTTCTCCCCCAAATAAAACTAACCCTCCTTTATGTCCATCACACTCAACCGCAAAAGATCTCGTACATCCCAACTGTCATATAGGATTCCCCACGTGTTGAAATTTGGAAAAAGTATCTGGTAAGAAGACAAAAGACAACCTCTTGGCATGGATGATACCCACCAACACTTGAACTGTGAACAAGATAACAAGCTCTTGACAGTTCCAACAAAGGAAACTACTACTCAGAGTTTCACTTTGTTTTTTAGCTTAGTCATCAAAACCTTCTCAGCACTCACAACCCTCCTGCTAAATGTGAAGACACCCCTTCCAACCTCCCATTGAATCAGATGCATTTAGGAGATTTTGAAGACAAAGCTAATCAATAGTGTCTTTTTAAATAAAATGTGGTAGAGTGAAATTGATTGAGTGAAGAATAGAGTATCTAAAATGACAGCAGATTTAGCAGCTTATAATAATAATGTATAACGTATTGTCCACAAGTCGACCAAATAAAACTCAAGTGTCAAAGAGTGACTTCAAAATATTAACTAAATAAATGCATTGTTGTCTTTTTTGTGTTCTGGTCTTATTCAACCATATGCACGACACGGGTTGAATATATACAGAAAGAATCTTTGATATTCCTATTCTTCATCAACTCGGATAAAACTAAACTTACAATTGAAAATGGAAGTTGGTATAATAAGTGAAATGCATGCAGCGCACCAGGCTATTTAATGTGGTTGAAAAAGTTGCTGCGTCTTCTCTGCGCAAATTATCGCAGATCGCTAGCTTCCATCGCGGATCTTCGCAGTTCGTTCGCACTTCACTCGCTGCCATACACATATGACGACTCGCCACTCGCAATCCTCCAGCACGTACGCAACACCTTAAACTCCGGCTCGAGCAGAGACGACGGCTCCGCCCAATGTATAGCGCTAGTTGCCTCTCCTCCCTCTCTCTTTCTTTGCACTCTTTTTCTTTTTCTATTTTCTTGCGAGTTTGGTGAGTTTGGTCACATGTTGGTCGTAGGTTAGGAGAAACCTCTGTTATACGTAGGTTTACAAATATGAGCATACACAAATGAAATTATGAACATAGTAGACATTTTAAATGAGCCTTTTGATTTTTTTCAATGCTCATTTCGTAATTTATATATGAATATTTGATATTGGTGTGTAACTCATTTTAAAATGCCATATTCATGCATATTTCAAAAGTATAAAATTACAGTAAATTCATATATTATATTCATAGGGGTTCATTGTAGATATTTTAAAAAAGGGATATTTTGACCTTGCACCCCACTTTTGGGGTGATATTGGACTTTGCACCCCATTTTCAAAACTCTTAGATTTTGCACTCTATTTGCCTTGGAATGTCTTTGGCTTTGCACCCCATTCAGGGTTTTTTCTTCACAAAATATTGTAGATAGGGCGCAAAGTCTAAAAGTTTTGAAAATGGCGTGCAATTTCCAATATCACCCAAAAAGTGAGGTACGAACTCAAAATTCCCCTTTAAAAAGAAAAGAAATAGAAAGTATATTAAAAAATATAAACCTGATATCATGATAGTCATTATTAGACTCTCAATATTCAATAGAGACTGATGCTCAATAAACGTACATTAGTGCACATGTAACAGAAGTCGCAAATTTCACTTAAATCACTAAAATGTCACCAGATGTATGGTGCAAGCCGTACAGCCGACTGTACGGTGTATACAGACTTGTCTTCTCTGCAGCCACGTCACTTATATATATGGAGTCTAATTTATCTATTTGCTGTTCTTTACTCTTTTTTTTTGCTGTTCTTTACTTTTGGACTAGTGTAACACCCGGGACATGCCCCGGTAGTGTTAATTTGATATGAGTGAAGTGACAAATACTGATAAACATTGTGAGTTATTCATAGGATATGATCAAAATTTTGGCTATAGTCGATTTTTTTACTCCCTCTATCGCTTTATATTAAACGAAACACTATGTCAATGTTGTTGAACTTTGACCGATTATATATTTATATATGGTAGTAATGATAATATGAAAATGATATGAAAATGTTTTTTGTTAAAACTTCGTGCTCATAAAAGTATAAATTTATTAAGTTTCACATAAATATATTAGTTAAAATAATAGATCAAAGTTTATCATTTGGAAAAGTCAAATATGGCTACATAAAGAGGGACGAATGTAGTATGAACTGACCATCACCATGGAATATGGGTGATGAATCACCATGGAGTATGAATTTGGGGTTATATTGTGATTTATGTGCTTAGTATTGTAATAGCTACTACCTCCGTCCCCCTAAGTTTGGGACAAGAGAAGGTGGCACGGTTATTAATAAAAGTGAGTTTATGTGGTTGATATTGAATTGATAAAGTAAGAATAAAGTAGGAATGATTTAGAACCACACAAACTTTACCAAATAAGGTATGAGACAATCTTAGTGGGACGGTCCGAAAAGGTAAAATGGGACAATCATAGCGGGACGGAGGGAGTATTAATTATTTATATGACTAATCATATGATGAGGATGATTATAAGAAGTGTTGAATCGGAATTGGGAATATGTGGAGCTTACAATTTTACATTGTTTTGGATATTTACGTGTATTATTGGTGTTGGGCGATTACAGTCCCTTTCACGTGAACTAAAGTTCCATTATTTAAAAATTTGGTCTTGAATTAGAGCCTCACTCAAATGGGTAAGATTAATTTTTTATGATTAGAGTCCTATTACATGTATTAGAGAGTCTCATTATTTAAAAAATTGATGTTGTACTATTATTTTGGAATCTGCATTGATATGGTATTCAAACCGAGAATTATACTCCATTAATATGGTTGATATTAAGAAATTGTTATATTTTCTAGATATGAATATTTATGATTTGAAATTTGTAAGATCTCATCTGATCTAACCTGATTTTTTTTCTGAAAAACATACAAATAATGACTATAATAATAACAGTATTCATAATTAATTTCAATGGAAGCAACATACAATAATAACCTACAAAAATATTTAGATTATATTGGAATCATCATAATAGTAAAAATAATAAATTATGTCTGAACCTTTCTGATTTGAATTTTTCTAGTCTGATCTCAATTTTTTTTATTTAATCTAATCTAGATTGAATTTTTTGGGCTAATCTTATTTGACTTTTTATCTGAATAAAATAAGAATAAGTAATACGGAGTAAACGATAAGAATAAGAATAACATAATAGCTTCTAAGGATATGTTTTTTATGTTTTATGTAGACTTTCCATCAGTCGTCCCATCTTTGTACGAACTAATTAAATGATTTAATGTGTGGAGTCTACATAATGTCAAGTATTAGTTATTTAACGTTTTTCCTTTTCCTTTTTTCTCACTTTTCCATGATAGCTCTTCCATCTCCTTTTTTTATCAGGTCTCCTTTTTGTTTGGAAATAATTAAATGTTTTCATAATAATGACAATAGATGTTTTGTTAATCAATAACACAGTGATATGTCACCAGTTTGTAACCCCGCTTTGTGTTTGGATTCCTAATATGTGTCACAAGTACTGTGTAAATGTGCACTTCCCACAATGTAAAGTTAACTATCTAAAGCTGACACATCATTGTTTTTTAACTTAAGTTTATTAATTATATAAAATAATAGATAATTATATATATATATATATATATATATATATATATATATATGATATTGGTGCCATATGAAAGATCTCAAAAAATTATGAATTTTGATATATATTTTTTGTAAAAATTGGATTATAAATATAAAAGTTATATCACTTTAAAAAAAGAGATTTTTTCTCCTACTCTTTCTCTAAATCGGACTTAATGCATGATTTTTAAGTGTGGTGGACATTGAATTAATTAATGGTTTTAATTGTGATGATAATAGAATTTGCACTATCCAATAAGTTGACACATCATTGTTTTTTAACTCAAGTTTACTACTCCCTCCGTCCTGTTGGGATGTTCCCGGTTTGACCTACAAACATATTAAGGAAATAAACTTATCAGGGGTAAATTTTACTGTTTTGACACTGTTTTGATGTAGGATAACTTTCCATTTAGGGAAAGAGAACTTCTTTTTGGGACATCCACAAAAAGGAAAGCGGGAACATCCGGACAAAGGGAGTATATAAAACTATAGATGTGTGAAATAAATTGATTAGAGATAGTGATTAGTAAACCCACTTATTGTTATTAATTAATGAACTTCAACAACGCCCGTCTTCTTTGATAGACTGTTGAGGTATGTAAGCATTTAAAAATTAAAATGCTGCGGTGAAATTTTAAGTTGCTAAATTTTCAGCTATGTGCTCTTGGGGGGGGGGGGGGTACTAAATGGTATACTCCTAAGTAAACTCCTCTAATCACAAATTTTGGCTGCAGGATTTTGGAGAGACAATACTTGACTTGCTCATTTACTCGTACGATTTATTGTATAAACACAGCCACTTGAATACCATGTACAGTACTGCAATCTTTTGCCACTCTAAACCATACTACCTCCGTCCCATGTGACATTGCCATGCTTGAATTGTGAAATAAGATAAGTAAAATAATATAGTTGACAAAGTCCAATATAACGATGAGTATTATTTCTTGGTGCTCTACCACTAATATTCACATATACATAGTATATGACAACATTTTAAAACACATGCAAATCGGGGAGTACAAATGGCAAGTCTATCTAAGACCTTAAACATAAGAGAAATTACAGACAACATTTACCCACGAGATAAAAGCATGTGAACATGATCAGACAGTGTACAGTGAGAACAGAGCTCATGAGCATCAAACATCCACATTAGGACCTGGGTAAGCTGGCAAACTCATTATGCGCTTGTCGACTACCGGACCTCCAATTGTAAAATGATATAGACTCTGGTACTCTGGTCCGTCCAATCCCAGAACTTCATGTACTGGCAATGTGTGATGATGCGGGTAGAAAAGAATCAGTGTCAACCACATGCAATGGAGTAAATATGAACTAAGGACCAATTGGTTTCACTTGTTTTAGAATATGTTTTTCGTGGGAAAATGAAGAAAATAAGTTGTTTACATACTAATATAATATACTGTTCTACCAACAGCTACAAAAAACCGAACAATTTCAAAAACATGTTTTCTCATTTTCAAGAGGAACCCATTTTCCATGAAATATCAGAGTCGAGGAGTATATGTTCTTTTTCCAGTGTCAATCACACGAAAATATCACCCTACTGCAAACACAGGAAAACCGGAAAACCTTTTTGAAGAATATATTTTCCCATGAACAAACACAGCCTAAAAGACTAATATTCTAACTCTTAAAAAATCAGCTTTTTTCTGCAATTCTTCAATGTAAATCCAATACATGGGCAGTATGTGGATGTGGCAAGTTAATGACTCCTACATTTAAAGAGTGGTGTTGTAGAAGGTGCCCTAGGCAGTATGTGGACTATGGGCCCGGATTTCTTCCAAGGCAAAAACCTAGGGCCCAGGGGAGCTAGATGCCCTTGTAGGGGTTAAGAAGACAGACAAGGAGCCACCTAATTATTTTTTATCTTCTAAATTGAAAGACTTCAAGAGCTTTCAAACCCTCAAATACACAACATATCACATGAAGGTCAAGTATATTTCTATCGGAACTACAATTTTGTTGTCAGATGTTGCCTAATATCTGAGCTGTTTCATTTTTGAGACCAGAATTCAAATGACGTCATATTGCAATATATATTATGAAAACTGAGACATAGTTTAGTTCATATATTTGGGTTTTACTTTTTAAACTTTAGTTAAGTATCTCCATACCATGTATTTTATCGTGCAAATAAAATACATTTCAACTCAGTCTCAAACATTTAAAACAATACTCCATACACATTATAGACGACTTAGGAGACAATATTTATAAGAATCGCCATATTTTCGAGGCCTTGTGCCCCTGTCGTCTAGTCCCCAATTTTATGCCTTCTTTCTACCACCCACCTAATGCCTTTTAGAATACATGCAAAAAGTAAGAAAGCAACATTGAACATTTCTAAGCTATATTAGGAGAAATCATCCGCTAACTATCCTTCCATCCCCAATAATGGAGTAGAGATTCTTCCCAAATGCTAGGTAACAGGCATGTGAGAAATTATGAAATTCATGATGAGTCATGGTATCCTATAAACTACGTAGTAACAGACAAGAGATTACATGTAAGCAATACTGAGATTTCAAAGAGACTCTTCAGGGAGGCATATGTTCTATTACCACATTTATGTTTTTTGTCATGCCTTCTAAAATGTCATAAAGTTGTCTGACCACAAGTTTTCCAAGTGAAAACTAAACACGGAAAATAGGGAGCAAATTGGGGAACCCATTCACATGGATTCTGGACAGATGCCTAAGCATAAATTTAGGGATTAACTTGATTGAGATTTAAATGATATTTAACATACATATTCAAGTATATATAGATATCTTAGGGGCTGTATATTTGTGTCTTTATATACTTGATCGGGAGAGTGACTTAATACTTAGGTCATTAACTCATGTTTACTTACGACTTAATTGAAAACGTGTCTTATTCATTTATCCCGAAACCGGCTTAATCATTAAATCGTGACACAGTGCTCCTCATCAATACTCAAATCAAGAAGTCTATTTAGTCAATTTATTTAAACCCATTATGGACTAGATGTACGTTGATAAGTGACATTACTCATTGACATTATAACCGAACAATAACCTTGAATTGATTATTTTACTCAATAGACTTGATTCATCACACAGCAAAATAAACAGTCAGATCAATTTCTCCTGAAAATATAGGATACGAGAAAAAAAAATACTCCCTCCGTCCCATAGAGGGGTTCCCGATTCGGTTTACGATGCTTGGCTGACGATAAAACAACTTGATCCTTGTTCACACTCTGATTACTTTTAGTAAATAAAATTTATATATTCAGAAACTACCTTAAAAATTTTACAAAGCCTGATCAAGAAAATTTAAGTTTGATAAAAATATTGATATATAAAGCAATAGATTAAGAATGATTTAAGTTGACCATGTGAATAGTGGTTTGGAACCTTTGAATGGGACGGAGGTAGTAGTTTTCAAATTGTAAAATGCTTAATTACTCATATGTATCCAATCGGATGTGTTAATACACAGAGACACTTTAATCCAAAAATCGTCAGATTTACTCAGTTTTGGTCTATTCGGTCAGCTTTTATGTGTAAATTTCAAACCGTGAACCAACCCACATATGATTTGGTCGCTTTTCGTCAGTTCAGATTTGATTGGTTCTGTTTTCATTGGTTCAGTTTTGGTTGGCTTGTCGGTAGGTTTTGCTATACCATTTTTTTCGTTCACCCATAGTAGAGGTGTATCAATAATAAGACATGGAACAAAGACACAAAATTGATTAGGATTGAGATTGAAGCAATTCTTTATTTTACTTCACATTCTGTTTCCTTCCAAATTTCACCTCTATTTTCCTCTCGATTTTATATCCTTGGTGTTTTCCGAGTTCCAAATGGACTATTACACACAGTTTACAGAACAGTTAAGCTTGTGCTGAGATTCGGGATATTAAACAGCCCTGAGTTTGCATAGTACTCTTAAAGCACCAAAAGAAAAAGGAAAAAATGCTGGGGGTAAGGGTGGGGGAGGGGGAGAGAAGGTTGAGTTAAAGAGGGAAGAACATACCAGGATCATCAAAGAAGCAACCAATTCCAGTAGCAGAAATGCCAACTGCATGGGCCTCAAGGTATAAAACATGGCCAAGAACTCCAGTCTCCCAAAATAACCGAGGATACATCCAGGGTCTCTTTCCCCCCAAAATGGGCTCAAAGTGAGCTATCATACCAAGGCTGAAGCAGCCATCACTAGCAATGTCCTATTCATACATATTTGCATGGTTAAGAAAATGTGCACATGTTTTCCAGTCTTCTCATATGAAAAATACACAAATACAAACCTATAAAGGCAACAATATGATAGACAGACACTATAGTTATTTAAAATTACATTGTTGTTAATATAAGTAAATGACTGATGCGATTTCAAAATCACCTTGCAAATATCTTAAACTACTCTTCTTTTCCGGGGGAAGGGGGGTAATATTCCACTATCACTCTGATTGATCAATAATCAGTCAGGACCCTATCTGGGAAGAAGCAATGCAGATGATTCGTATTTAACCGTAACAAAATAAACAAACCTGATGGCACGAGAGCTGTTTTGAGAGTTCCTGGCAGTCTCCTCTAGCAAGCTCATATAGAGGAAGACCATTGGGGCATCCCTCTGGTTTCTCCCATTTGAATCCTGACCTAGTAGCCTTCCTAAGTGCATCCAAGTGTTTCTCATTCCTCACTAAGAAGTACATGCCACTAGGCAAGCCCACAACCCTGTGGACAAAAAGAGCTGCATGCACTTCACATTCCCAACAAAGTGCCCTAAATGGCAATGCCAATTGCCTTCTGTGCTTATCTCCCCCTCCAGAACCTGAAGGCATACAATGCAATAAGATTTGATAGAATGTTTCTTTTGCTATACTAGTACAGCCATCCATATCAACCGCACTTCTTCTTTTTCTTATTACATCTCTCAAACTAAATCCCATGTAACAACTTTCACTCAGCACCCCACTACTCTGAAAGGGATCTATGATCGACTCGGTCAACATTGTAACTGGCTTTTTTACGGCTTCGGCAGTTCTATATATAATGTCCCAACAAACATGTTCTTCACTAAGAATGTTAGGCTTACCCTTCCACTCCACATTAGAAAACTCTGAAACAGCAGAAACCAACTTGTTATAATCCAGATTATATTTAAGCAATCCACGGGGGAAAACCAATAGAACACAATCGGGATGCTCAAATTCAATTTCAGGCATCCTCCCTTTCACTGGTGTATCTGGAATAGTGAACCGTGGAAAACAATCAAGCCCCATCAATTTCTCCAACTCTGAGTAGCCTAATCCATCAAGAACCTTGACATCCCACCCTAGCCCAGCTGCAGCCATAGCAACTGCAGCAATGGCATGCCCCACGTCATGATTACAGTACCTAAAGGCCCGTTCGCCATACTTCCAAGCCTCCCTCCAAAAAATTGAGGACAACCCAACAAGAAAGGAGTTCTTGGGTAATACTTGACTGAAGGATTCGAAGGGCACTTGTGCTCTAATTTCCAGAGAATGCTCTTTTGGAGCATAGTGCGCGACAAAACTGTGAGGGCAGACGGACTCGATTGGGGGAGAAATGAGATAAGCCTCAGTGGGGTGCAGGTTCCCACTGCTAGGGTTTACGCGGAGGGACCAAGTGGAAACCCCGGTGGTTTTCCAGGCTGATAGTGCGAGAGAATCGTAGAAAAGGCGGGAGATAGTTGAGAGGGAAACCGAGATTGGAGATGGGAGAGAAGTGAAGACCTCGGCGTAGAGAGGGGGTTCATTGGGGTAAGGTGAGGGAGGATGCAGGAGGGGGACGAGTGGGGATGAATCGTAGCGGCGGAAAGGGTTCGGCTGGTTTGCCCAGTCTAGGCCGCGAGGGCCGCGGGCGTAGTTGTTGAAGGAGTGCTTGGTCCGGTTGTGGTATCTCAACACTTGAGCAACGGATGCTTCTTTAGATTCCGGCAGCTCTGATTCTCCTGTTAGAGAAGGGGATTGCGAGGAGGACATAGAGTGGATTGGGACTACTTTACGGGTGGCGGACGCAACGGCGGTGGGGAGCCTTTGGTGGTGGAGTGCGATTGGAAGTCTGCAAAAAATGAGAGGCATTTAACTTCCACCAGTTTCCGGCGGGTACATTCCAAAGAGGCTGAACACAGTTCGTTGCATCAGCTGATAAATTCCCGGCACTCGTACGCTAAACCTGTGAGATTTTGGAACAGGGAACAGTAGAACCGATCGGAACCGAACTGTTAACAACATCTAGGAATCGAACCGTTAACAATTAATGCCTCATTTGTAGGAACCGAACCGAAACGGGTTATAACAATTCGGTTCCCGGTTCCTATAAAAAATATGTGCATGGAATCGTTAAGGAACCGTTATTAAAAAAAAATAGTAGTAACAACAACAACAACAACAACAACAACAATAATAATAATAATAATAATAATATAATAGCAATAATAACCACCACCACAACAATAATAATAAAACAATATAAGATATTTAACTAACAATTCTAATTTAATCAACGGAAAAGAAGTAATAAATATTGTATATGAGGTTGATATAATACATTAAACTTCTTTCTACAAATCAAGTTTTGTTCCATCACATAAATTTTATAAATATAAAATAACCCAAATAACTTGTAGTTGATTGCACATATTTTACTTTACTATTTTCATGATATTTCTAATTATTAGATTTATTATGGATCAATAGAATGTAATAATGTTTTTTTATATCTATACATGCAAACTCAATGTTTTTTTTTATGTTTTGAAAGACTTGAAGTGGGCGTCCTATTCTTGCTACTATGATGACGAGTAATCTTCATCGCTCCGACACTACAACGGTTTTTAATGTTTGATTTATTACATGAAAATTTAAATCACTTTTGTTCTATTAAGTGTTCGAAGTTTATTAGTTAAGTTTGAGCTTTGATGTTTGAAGTGATTAGAGCTTCAAATAAAATTTTAATACTCGTGTTTTGAATTTTCGACGTGTTTAAATATATGTGTTAATTCTGAGACGAGAAAAAATTATTCTAGGAACCGATAAAAGGAAGAACCGAACCGTTTACTACCGGTTCGGTTCCATAACGGTTCTTGATTTTTTATATAGGAACCGAACCGATTTCGCTAGTTAAAATTTTTATAACGGTTTCACTCATTTTGAGTAAGAACCGAACCGGTCCCAGCCCTACACCCAAGTGTTGAGAAATGCTTAGGCCTATTTCAATTATGCTTGGGGTACACAACTTGTACACAAAGTGTACAAGCTATAAAAGCTCAAAAAAACATCCCATTTTTAAAACTCATCTCTCTCTTTATTTTTACCCTCCTCATCTCATCGGCCACTTTCTCTCCTTCCCTATCTCTTCTGTGCCCAGCCCCTTCCTCTCTTTTTAACTTTCTCCTCTTCTTTTTCTCTAATTTCTCCACCATTTTCACTCAGCTCCATCCATCTTCCAATTTAGTTTAGCTCACCAACTTGTTCGAACACTCCTCTCCTGGAAGCCTCCAGCCTACTCGTCCTGCACTCCATGCCCACTCCTCACTTTCTATTACTCTCATTTTAAAGCTCAAATTTATGAAAGGAAGCTCAAGGTTTTACCTTTTTATGATGGATGAATCTTCCCAAAGTCATTATTATTGAGGTAATCTATTTCGATTTTTCCATATGCATTTTAGGGTTCTTTTTTTATTTTTTTGTTTCCTGAATTTATGTATGTTATTATGTATGTTGAAACATTGAATAATTGCACTTTTGTTTTATTGTAAAAGATTGTGGTGTTAGCTATATTGAATTTTAATCTCAATAATCTATTTCATTATATGCCCATACCATGTTTGTTGGAATGACTCTATGTAATTTTTGTTCATATCCAAGACATTTCTCCCCTTTTTGTTAACCAATTTTAGTTTCTCTTTTTACCAGTTTCACAAATCTTATTAGTAGCATCCTACTATGGTCTCAGTCAAACTTAAAGTAGAGAAAACAAATTTGCAAGGTTGAATCACTTAGTTCTGAGAAAACTAGTAGTTACGCCAAAATATACTTGCAAAGATTAGTTGGTTGTATCTACATTCAAATTATGCCATTCACTATGAATTTAAATTAAAGTATACATATCATATTGTCTATTTATTTATTGACTGCAGTAAATAAATATTCATGTGTAAATAAAGTATACATAAAGTATACATATCATATTAGTTGGTTGCAAAGATTAGTTGGTTGCATCTACGTTTATGTGTGTTATTTTGATTGATCATATTCATGAACATGTTACAAATCACAAGATTCACTATCTGAACGATAGAAGCATTAGGAAAAGGTTTCTTTTTTTGTATGGTGTAATATCGTTCGTATCAGTTTTGTAATATTATAATAATCATTCTTTGAATACTTTGTTATTAATTATTATCTCTATGTAGCTATTGATATATCTCATATGAGTTTTGCAGCCATGGGATCAACAAGTTTGACAGACTTATGTGTCGTCTTTGGAATTGACAAGACATGGCAAAGGGAACATGATGGTCTTTTGAAGATGATGGTCTTATGAAGAATGCCAATTAATTTAGTCATAAGTGGTGCTCATCAAATCATATAGAATTGGATGATCTCAAATTAGTTTCTCTTAGATTAGTCGACATTGGAATGTGTTGATATTTGGGTTGTAAATGATAATGCTTGTTTTAGATTAGTTCGTATTGAGATTTGAGGTGTTGGAGGGTATATGACATTTGGGTTGTAAATGATAATGCTTGTTCTCGGTATTGGAACACTTTGTTTGTAAATATGCTTGTTTTTCACTTCAGAATCAAAGACATCGTAAATATGTATCTTTTGTTTGTAACCAAACACTTCATGTCGCGTTCACAGACAATTCCAATTAGCATATTTGCATGTTCCAGTGGCTATTGCCTGTGGCCATACATTTCATGTCTGATTTACAGACAATTCCACTTAACACATGAGCACATTTGTCTATTCCATTGGCTATTGCCTGTGGCCAGACATTTCATGCCTGGTTCACAGACAATTCCACTTAGCACATGAGCTCATTAGCTGGTTAATGAGCTAATGTACTAAGTGGAAATGTCTGTGAACCTGATATAAATATCTGGCCACAAACAACAATCACTGGAATGGGGGAAATGGGTCAATGTGCTAAGTGAAATTGCCTGTGAACCAGACATGAAGTGTCTGGTTAATCCAAATAGCCACTCGAATGAACTAATTTACTAAGTGGAAATGTATGTCAACATTATATGAAGTGTCTAGCCACAAACAATAGTCACTGGATGTTCTAATAAGTTAATATGCTAAGTGGAATTGTTTGTGAACCAGGCATGAAATGTCCGGCCACAATCAATAGTCACTAGAACGAGCAAATGTGCTGATTGAAATTGTCTGTGAATGTAACATGAAGTGTCTGACAACAAACAATAGTCATTGGAGTGCTCTTATAAGTTAATTTTTAAAGTGGAATTGTCTGTGAACCAGACATTAAATGTCTGGTCACAGGCAATAGTCAATTTGTGACACCGCGCCCGTATGTACTTGAATTTGAAAGTTGATATGTATTTGAATTTCCTAACGAATAAAATTCGTGTAATCGATTGACATATTTAATTAATGTGCGATTAATTAAATTATTTATCGAGCCCATAATAATGAGAATGAGCTACCAAATATTTAGTTGGGTTATCATAATAATTATAGGAGCCCAATAAAGTGCCAACCAAAGTTGATGGAAAAACATTTGGACAACCCGAGTGCTATTTTGGCCCAACCTACCGAAAATAGCAGGAATGATTGGGAGGGACTTCCTACACCCACTTGGGGTATTCTACACACTAATTAGACTCAAATAATAAGGGAGGGGGACCACACAATTTGGCTTGTGCGGATGATTGAGGGGAGAAGTCTCTTAGAGACAAACTCACACCCCATGCTCCCATTCCCACACATTATTGGGAAGTGATTGAGAAGGCATCTTTCACCCACCTTCTTGCACTCATTCGGCCAGCCATAGAGGGGAGGAGCTCAAGGATAAGCTCTCACAAAAAACAGTGTTGGAGGGATCAAGAAGGAAGGGAAGCTCAAGAGAAAAAATAGCAAGAAGAGAGGTAAGAACTTAACTAGTTCCCTTTAGCTAGTTTTAGTGTATGATTTTTTTAAGAAATCATATGGTGGATCAAACCATGAGTTTTACACATTTAAAAGTGTATAATATTGTTATAAAGTGGTGGTATTTAACTTAGAAGAGTCGTGGAATCGATAGGAGTTGAAACCGCCGGAAACCGCCAAGTATAGGAGGCTGTTCGTAGTTGCAGACCACGAAAGCCGCCCAGCTTTCGTGAAAGCCGCCCGGCTTTTGGCTGCTGCCCAAAATTTCACTTTCGATCGGTTTAGAACGGGGATTGATCGGAGGGCTTAACCAAGGCAACTATTTCAGCACTTCATAAGGTGAGGATGGCTGACTATATTGCTTATAATCTTTGGGTTAATTTCATGAGATTACCTAAGGTAATTAAATATGTTTTTTTAAGGATTATTAATGATTAATAATGCCTAAGAATGAGAAGACTATTATCTATAAGGAAAAGGAGCATGATATACAAATTTAAGAATAAATTATGTATGATCATGTGTTATGTGTATGTTGATTTGATAATGGGATTAACCATGAAATTATGTTGAAATATACTTTTTACTTCATATAAGAATGTATGAATGATTAAAAGTGATATTTTGTATATTGATATAAAGATGATATTTTCAATGGAAAATCAGTTGGGCAATTGTAAATGACCATGAATGGAGAACTTGGTTTGGTTGGAATTAACTTGACTAGTATTAATATACTAGTTGGGCATTATAGTGGAATGTTGCTAAAATTGATCCTAAGGTTGGATTGTGAAATACTATGCCTTAAGTAGTCTTAAGAGATGCTTTAAGGTAGGAAAGTATGAACTTTAAGTTATACTAGGGGTAGGCCTTAAGGGATACCCAAGATAAAATAAATAATGAATTGATCCTAGATGTAGGATTGACCTACGGGTGTGTTCGGTAGTCCTTGAGGATAGCCGGTTGAATTATGGGAATAAGTAAGGACCATGACCCTTCCCGACTCTAGAGAGCGGGGTTGGATAGCATGGACTTGCATCGTGATCACGGGTTAGGGTGGAATCCGAATCGGAGACCTAACTAGGCTCCGGT